TTGATCTCGTATACCAACTTTCACAAGTATTCAAGGTATATGAATTTGAGTTTCCGCCCATAAGAAACGAAAGAGACCCAAATGAGATTCAAACTTGGCTTACAATTGTACCAGATCCATTGCTATTGAGGGACTCAGGTCGTCCAAAATCTACTAGAATATATTGTGATATGGATATTCGGGAGAAGTCAACAGAACAAAAACGATGTGGGCATTGCAGAAACATCGGGCACAATAGAAAAAAATGTCCAGCTCTGTTATCATCATATAACCGTTAACTCTTATGTAATTAATATTGTATTTAAATGAATGTTTTTGTTTCTAATAATTTAATGTTATTGCATTTATATAATTTGTCAATGTATGTACACCTAATAATTTTTTTAACTTTTAAATACATAAATATTTTTAATATATTTAATATAATAATTAATATTATTAGTTATAATTTTTTTAAAATATAATAATAATTCCACCTTCTAAGTAGAGAAAAATATTAAATTAAACAAATTAAAAGTTATTAAAAAATTTATGTATACGATGACACATTTCATGTTCTGATTGGAGGATTAAATTTATTAAATTAAATTTTCAATAAGACTAATTTCATAAAATATGTAAGTCTTGAAGATTAAATATGTAATTATACTAATTTATTAACTTATGCATCAATATTTTCGTTAAATATTGATATGAGATGACTATATTGATAACATTTAAATAATTAACTGATAAAATTAATAGATCGATAATCAAAATCAAAAATAATAATATAACCATATGTGTAATATTATAATTTCATACATTTTTCCTATAACTACAATAAAATCAAAACTGGTTTTCATATATTGTTATATCATATTAATGTAGATAATTCACTCTACCTTTAACACACATTAACAAAATACATTTGATAATTCTTACATTATAATCGAAACATTTTACATAATATATTATTAATTTATAATAATAATAAAAATAAAATATTTATTATTAAACAAAATACGTGGCAGTCGAGCTGGCGAAAAGCGCGTCCCCGGGGATGCGCCTTCCACACGTGGCATCCAACTCAGCGAAAACACGGGTAAAGCGTGTCCCCGGTGACGCGCCTTTCGCCAGCTCAGCAGAAAGGGTGCTACTTCGGGAAATATTGGTCAAACGGTGTCAGAAAGGGAATATTAAAGAAAATTGGTGTCAGTTATGTCAAATAGCCGGGATATGGCGATGCATCCAGAATCTTGGCTCGATTTCCCGATTCCCGATGTTGGTGATTTTGATGGTAATTTACTTAATTTCTAATTTTTTTTATTATTGGGCTAATTAAATTAGAATAATGAACATTTAAAACAAGCTGAATTCTTGTTACTTAATTTCTACCTTCTGTTTTTTTTATGTGCAATTTCTTTTTCTTTTTGTTCTTTTGCAAATTTTGAATTTTATTTGATTAACTCTGTTGCTAGATTTTGTAATGCGTAGCTGATATTGATAACTGATCATTGATTATAGAATGGTGTAATTTTTTTTTAAATCAGTGGATAATAAAATGAAGTAACTTATATTTTGATCCTTTATGGTTGCTATAAAGGATCTATCAATTTCTTTTTGCATTGTGGTTTCCAAATCCGTTGAAGTTTGATATCTCTGAGACTTGGATAACGAACCCTGTATAGGTAAGTTTGTTTGCTTTGACACAGGCATGGGAAATGCTCCCTTTCTGCCTCATGAGTACGTTAAGAGTTGATGGCTAATTGTTTGGCTGTAAAGCAACTCTCAGAACTGCTCATGAGTCTTATTTTAGACCTTTATGTGTATATTTATATAATGTATATAAGTTTGATCATGGTTTGAGAATCTCTGTCATTCAGTGCAATAAACATACAGGTGTGAAGTAGAAAATTTAGTCATAAAAGCTGGTACTTATTCCTGGTATATTTTGTTATAATGTGCTAAGCTTCTTTTTAATGCTCTTGAAGTTTTTAGTTATGCAAGTCTTGGTTGAATCACATTTTTTTTCCTTCCATTTAGATGACATACATGGCAAAAAATGCATATCGTGAATGTAGACAACCGTTTTTGTCCGAGTCTTTTTTTTATTATTTATTTAATTTAATTTTAATATATTATTATTATATTACTTGTTATTACTATTATTGTTGTTATTATTATTTTTTTTATTAATATTACATTTACATTTTGTTTGCAGGCCAACCCATTGCACTAACTCAAGCCCATTACAAGTTGGCCCAGCAGATTACATCAATACAACCCAAAGCCAACAGCCCAGCAACCTAGTAGCAAACCCGGGACCCTAACTGACCTGAACTAGGCCCAAATTTAACCCGATCCAGTGTAATTAGGGTTTTAAAACCCTAAAATATCAAGCCGCACCTAGTGACATTTCACCATCCCAGCCACGCGTGCACTGCACTGCCCCTCTCCCCGTACGCCTAAGCCGACCGCCGCCGAGTGTTCTCGCCCAAGGTTATCATCCACAGTGACCCCCAACAGTGACAACAAATCCATGTCAGCAAAAAACAGTGAAAATCAAAAAAGAAAATAATAAAAATCTCAACAAAATCCCAATGTAATCTTACCGTGTCAAATAAAATATAGGGTAATCAAACCCTATATTCTCGATGACCACAAATCCTTCAACAATCAACAATCACAAGAGGAACATAAAAATAGAAGGAAGAGAAGAACCAAGATCATTCGGGATTCTGGGAGAAAATTAAAAAATAGAGGGAGAGAGAGGGAGCTTAGAAGAGAGATTTGAAGAGAAAAATACAAAAAAAGAGAGTGAGAAGGGGCTTACCTTGGTCGATCTCTGATGAAAGCTCTGGGTTATCGGAGCCGTAGATCTATGGCGTTTGAGCCATTTTTTTTGCCAAACTAGGCTCAGACCCACATCCACGGCGAGAAGACGCTTAAATTGACGTCTTCCTCTCTTTTCTCCGACGCCGATGGATGGTGGTCGTCGTCGGTCGACGGAGGCCGACACAACAGAGTTGCCGGAAGCTGGGAGCTCTCTCTCTCTCTCTCTCTCTCTCTCTCTTTCTCTCTCATTTAGAAAAAAAGGGAGAAGCAAATGAGACTGATGAGATTTTGGGGCGTGTTTTCAAGCTTTAATAGGGGACACCAAACGACGACGTTTTCTAGGGGGACCAGTAGCATTTTCGCGCATGCGTTATTCATTGTAAAGGTCCTCCAGATCTTGTAATCCTCTATTTTAGTCATTAATAGAATGTTAGTTTCTTTTTAATTCGAGCTCTCGTTTTGTATATGTTGCAATTTGGTCCTATTATTATATATTATGCTACAACTGTTATTTTCTGAATTTGGTCACCATGTTTTATATTGTTGCTTTTTAGTCACTAATTTCGTGCTTTGTGTATTTTCGTTGATGTTTGAATTTGGCCACAAGATTTGTAAATTTATTATGTTAGTCACTGTTTTAGCATTTTGGTTTAATTACTTTTTGATCCTTAATGTTTATGTGAAATTTCATTTTAGTCCTAAATTTTATTTATGGATTATTTTATTTTTAGTACTTGTATTATTTAATATTTGCAATCTAGGCTCTGTTTTATTTGTAATTGTTGTTTTTACCCTTAAAGTTTATGCTATTACTATTTTAGTCCTTAAGTTTCTATTTTGGCTATTTTAGTCCTTTAGATTTCTATTTTTACTATTTTGGTCCCTTAACTTTCTATTTTTTCATTTATAGTGCTTTAAGTTTTGGTTTATTTTTAGTCCTTTAAGTGTCTATAATTACTGTTTCAGGCCTTTAAATTTTTTTGTTTAGCTATTTTAGCCCTTTGAGTTTGGTTAAATTATTATTTTGGTCTCGAAAATTATACCATGTGCTTATTTTGTTTGTATTTTGGGTTGAAATGTTTACTTATTTTTATTTTAGTCATTTAATGTATGAATATTTTATATCGTGTATGTATTATTTTTAAGTAAATATTATCAATGATTATTGTATGGAAATGTATATTGTTATTTTGTTGTTTAATATTTATTTCCTTCATGTTTTTATCTATCGTATAATATTCAATTATTTTCAAGAACATCGATTTTGTAGAACGAGCGTGGAAAGTTTCACTTGGCCGAAGTAATAGGATCCGATATAGCATTTTAACAAAATGTGAACTTGAAATAAATTAACTTTATTTTGTTAATTAATTCATCTCATATTTTAAATCAAACAACGCGATGCATGTTTCTCTAGATAACAAGTTATTTTATTTAATGCAAATGTCGATTTTCAATTTTTATTCGATTCGCGTCTTTTAGTCAATGAAGAGAAAATATTCTTTTACTGATAAGAAATATACGATATAGCTTTTTTGACAGAAGATTGCTCATTTCGAAGTTTCTTTTCGACTTAAAGAATTTTCCCTAACAATATAAATAATTCGAAGCAACTCAATAAATGAATCATACTTTAATTTTATATTTGATTCACGATTTTCACAATTTACGACAAAATATAAACGACACAGTATCAATTTAAGTGATGTGGAGTACTAACCTTTCCCTACATGTAACCAACTCCCGAATCCATTAAATCGAATCTTTGTAAACGCAAATCATTTTTGTCTTAAAATATTTTTTCTCAAAATTGTTTTTAAAATTTTTTTTAGGTATTCGTCCTACCTAACTTCAAAGGTCGATGGCGATTCCTTTTCAATTTAACCAAATCAATTAAAAACCGCTATTTTTCAAATTAAAGTCATAATTATTTTTTAAAATAATATTTATTTTTTTTCGAAAAAAAAATTATGACAGCAAATTCAAGGCTTTTGAAAATCTGTCTGAATATTTTGGTGTATTGTCTGAAGCTGCATTTAATGGAATATTTCCGTATCGCTGCTTTGCCATTTGGTTTTCCCTATGGGCTGCTCCACCCTTAATTCAATGATGTTGTTGTGCATATATGCACGGTATGAATGTGGCTAATTTCTATAATCCTTTTTATTGTTTTAAAATATCAGATTTTGATATGTCTGATGAGCAACATGAACATGCCTTAGCTGTTGAACGTCTTGCACCAAGATTGGCTGCTCACGCCTCTGTTCCGCTTACCTCTCTGCTTTTCTAACCGTTAAATGTAGACACCAGATTTTGTCTGGTTATAAATATTATATTATAATTATTACTATTATATTATTATTATTATTATTATATTATTATTATAACAATTATATTATAATAATTATTAATATTATTATTAATATCATTTATGTTCTTGTAGGTTGTACAACAAAACCATGCTTCCCACGCGCTGCTGTCACCTACCGAACAAGACCCATGCTTTAGCCAATAATGTCATATTCAGCCTTTCACGGGAAACCTACAGCAAAGTCATCCCACATTAAACCAAATCAAGAAAAAAAGTCAATCAATTATCCACCAAAATTGAGCAAAAAACAACCGAATCCATAAAAAATTAGAGAATTAGAGATTTCTACCTAAACATGTCATTATACTACCAAATGCAGAAAAAATTAACATGCAATATGACAAGAAGAATTCGGTGGAAAATATAGAAAAAGGGGGCTCGTCAACACAGAAAAGTGGGGGAGGCGATTGAAAAAATCGGGATCTTATTCTAAACACTGGTAACAAAAAGAGGGGGGTTTATTTTTCTTGAAGAAAACAACTGTAAACAAGGGAAATATTCCATCTCTCTATTCGAAAGCAATAAAAGCATTTTTGAGGTAATCCTAGTTTCGTTTTCATTTTCTAGTATATGTTGCTTTATTTGGTTTTTTATTTCGAACCCAAACCAGTAGTAGAACAATCTGTTCTTTATGTTTGTAACCATTTTCATATTCCAGTAACTAACCCAAAGAAATCAACACATGTTCGATCATAAGCAAAATAAGTAGTTCAAATATAATAATAATAATAAAACAAAGAGGATTTGGGGTTTATTTACCAGAGACGTTCGGGTTCCCTCACGGGAACTTACCACGCTTTGGTGAGGTTATTTGTCGCCGATGAACGGCAGTTTTCATGCTGGTTTAACTGCTGGAATTCAAGGCATGAAAGGGTTGGTTTCCATTAATTATTATTCGCAGGCTTAAGAGATAAAAAAACAGAAAAAAAATCATCAAATAAAAACGAAAAGAGAATACAAAAGATTTTAGTTCCAATACATTTTTTTAAGTAACACCAACATGGAAGCAGGTTATTTTCGTAACAACCAAACATAGAAAACTCAGATATTAGATAAACCAAGCAATCGAGATACAGAGAAAGCAAATAGTAAATAAAGGGGTTAATTCTTTCGTTCTTTTTGTAAAGCAGTACCAGTATAAATTCTTAGTTTTTAGTTTATTTTCCAGCAACCTTTTTCTTGTTTCTTCTCTCTTGATTCGAAATGAAAAGCATAGAGAGGGAGACAATAGTAGTTTACCTTAGCCTTGAGAGGTGGTCATCAGGGTTGTCGGAAGTCGGGGTCTCATGAGGTCACCGGAAAGCGTGAAGGTGAAGAGTTAGGCGAGTTTGGAAGCTCGGTTTTGGGTTTGGTCTTTGGGGCCTTGGTCGAGTAGAAAAGGGGTTGAGATGGAAAGACATTTTAGTACGATCGGGTGGTTGTTTTGGTTTGTTTTAGGTCGGGATAGGCGATTTTCGGGGTGAAGGTGGACACCAAGGCATGGTGGCCAGCCGGCGGCGTTGAATGGTGAGGAAGAAGGTCTCGGTCTAACCAGAGGAAGAGGAAAGGAGAGAGTAGAAGAAACGGCGCAGCAATGGGTTGTTTACAAGTGAGCCTAGGGTAATTTTAACCTAAAATAACATATATATTAACTCTCTAAAAACGGCAGTGTTTAGTCTAGGGGAGTTTGACTATTCACTTATGGGTTATTCATTTTATGGGCCATCCAAATTTTCAGTTTCATGCGTTTTGATCCTTAAATCATTGTTTTCGTTTTCCGATTGTGTCTCCATATTTTACCCATATTCAATTTCAGTCCCGTGTATCATTATATTTAAGTATGGTTATTTTAAACATTTAACTTTTAAGTTTCTGCATGTTTCTTTTTAGTCCAACGCATATTTAAGTTTATTTGATGTTAGTCCCTTAGAACGGTATTTGTTTGTTTAAGTTCCATTATTATTTATAATATATTTATTTTTTTAATTATTTTTTTTACATTCAAGATAGTAAAGTTGTATTTAGTCCTATTTTAATAAGTATATTATTTTCTAAGATTTGTAATTTCAGATGTTATGTTTTATTTGGTATGTTTAAGTCACATTTATAATTACATATTAATATCTAGATTATAATTATAGTACAATTAAATATGTGTATATTTGTGTATTAAAATGTCACATTATATGATAATTTTTATCTAAATACTTGTTTAATTAATTTTGGCATGACATCCCTTTTGCACAATGTGTATGTTACTCTCACGTGCATAACTCGACATTATTACATAATTGGATTAAGGGTAATATCCTTTTAATTTAAAATTATTTTAAGTGGGTTATCTTAACTGATTAGATATATGCTTTTGACAATTTTAAACTAGAAGTATATCCCATTAGTGACACCTAAAAATTGATTATCACTTTAAAATTTGGGAACGAAAGAAAAGAAATATTTGATTATTTAAATGTTTCAAGAAAGGTAGTTAGAACTATCTAAGATATTGTCTCGATATTGTCTGATTTATTTTCGGGTTTCGAAGCTCAGCTAAGTGGTTGGCTTCTTGATCTTCTTTTTTTGGGATTTTTTTGCTTTTCTTCTTAAATTGTAGTGGCATACAGTGCTTTAATATGGGTTTCCTGACAAAAGCAACATTGATTAAAGGATTAGTATTTCACCGAGGCCCTCTTCAACCCTTGCGTATCTGTTCAAGATCTTGGGGAATTTCAATTCGATTCCATCAAAATTCTCTCAAGGCTCTTTGGGTATTTGTATCTCTTTCTTCTGATCTATATATTATATTCTCTACAGCTTCATCACAGTTTCTCACAAATACCAAATCTGTTCTAGTTCATCATATGTTTCAGGGGATCCGATCATCTAAAGAGCCAGTTATCGAAAATGCCCTGAGGGATTGGGTATAATGTGATATCGGAAGAAAAAATCAAAGATTGAAGGGTTATGGGAATCTATCTTGCACCACCAGACTTTGTGCTAAACAATTGGACTGCAGAAGAATTACATGTAGTTTACAAAACTGTTTCAGAGTAATGCAAAAAAACTTTCCCTATTGTCTAAACCCCGAAACAATAGGTGATCTTTTTTTAAGGGTTAATCTATTTGTTTTCTATTTTTAATGAATGATGCATTCCTATTAATTCACGAAATGGCAAACATCATCCTTGTATTTTTTTTATTTCTTTATTTCTTTATTATATATATTATTTCATTTTATTTGATATGGGATAGATACTCATGTATTTGTATGTATATATATCCTCTCGTTTGTTATTCTTTCAAGACCTCCGGTATCAATAGTATAAATGCTGATGACTCTGACCCGAAGATAGATTTCGAGCTGCCCATTGTTTAGGGGAAGTTGGATGTTATGATAATGATGAGGGAAGTGACTTACCTTCTGAACTACTAAAAATGGTAGAGAGAGAAGATAAACAAATTCTACCTCATGAAGAGACCATTGAAATCTTGAATCTGGGATCAGAGGAAGACAAAAAGGAGATAAAAAGTGGCACCATCATATTGGCTAAGGGACGACAAAGTCTGATTGAGCTGCTACGAGAGTACAAAGATGTGTTTGCTTGGTCGTATGAGGACATGTCAGGTTTAGACACTGAGTTAGTGTACATAAATTACCAAAAAGCCCAAATGTAAACCGGTACAACAAAAGCTCAGAAGGATACCCTAAATGCTGATTAAATTGAAGAAGAAGTAAAGAAGCAATTTGATGCTGGGTTCCTAAAAGTGGCTAAATATCCAGAATGGGTAGAGAATGGTGTTCCAGTACCAAAGAAAGATGGAAAAGTTCGTATGTGCGTCGACTATAGAGATCTTAATCGGGCCAATCCGAAGGATAATTTCCCTTTGCCACACATAGACACCCTGGTGGACAATACAGATGGAACTTCCTATTTTCGTTTAATGGATGGATTTCAAGTTACAATCAAATAAGATGCATCTAGATGATATGGAAAAAACTACGTTTGTCTCCATGTGGGGCACGATCTATTACAAGGTGATGTCGTTTGGGCTAAAGAATGCAGGGATAACCTATCAAAGGGCCATGGTAACACTATTTCATGAAATGATGCATAAGGAAATAAAGGTCTATGTCGATGATATGATTGTTAAAGCTAGAACGGAGGAAGAACACATCAAGAATCTGAGGAAACTCTTCCAAAGATTAAATAAATGCCAGTTAAAACTCAATCCAAGCAAGTGTACCGTCGGGGTAACATCGCGAAAACTCTTGGGGTCTGTAGTAAGCAAAAAAGGGATTGAAGTGGATCCTGACAAGGTCAAAGCTATTCAGGAGTTATCACCCCCACAAACACAAAAAGAAGTTCGAGGATTCCTGGGAAAATTAAACTATATCGCCTGATTTATTTTGCAATTAACCGAGAAGTGCGATCCTATTTTTCGCCTCCTCTGTAAAAATAACCCAGGGGTATGGAATGATGATTGCCAAGGAGCTTTTGAAGCGATAAAAGGATATTTGTCAAATGCCTTAGTCTTAATGCCACCAATATCAGGCAAACCATTAATCCTCTACTTGTAAATCTTTGAGAATTTAATGGGATGTGTATTAGAGCAACAAGACTAAACCGAGAAAACAGAAAGAGCAATCTACTACCTCAGCAAAAAGTTCACTGATTGTGAGGAAAGGTACTCACCAATAGAGAAGTTGTGTTGTGCTTTAGTTTGGACTACCCGAAGGCTCAGACAGTATATGTTGTATCACACTACTTGGCTAATATCTAAACTTGACCCTCTGAAATATCTAATGGGTGTACCTGCTTTATCTGGAAGATTGGCTCTTTGGAAAATCTTATTGTCTGAATTTGACATCGAATATGTAAGCCAAAAAGCAGTTAAAGGAAGTGTTGT